GGGGGCAATTTGGAAAATTTTCAGCACGTTGTACAGGTTTTTTTTTTTTTTTTTTTTTTTGAGAGCAAGGCCACCGGTGGCTGGATCATGAGGTCATCCCGAGGCTTTTCCGTTTCTTGACAACAAGGCACTCTAAAGTGGCCAGACTTGCACGAAGCACCCGTCCGTCCCCATGCCGGCTGTCACGGCAAAAGAAAATGCGCCCCTGGCTCTTGTGCCGTCAACAAGGCGATCTCACGTGCACAGACGGACGGGGCTCCTGAAGACTTGAGACGTCCTTCTGATTTGCGCCTCGGTGACGCGCTGACCGGCATGTCGTCCCCGCAGGTACGACGAATGGGTGAAGGCCGACCGCATCATCTGGCCCGCCGAAAAAGGAACCCGGAAGAGAACCAGGAAGAAGGTGAAGGTGAAGGCTTCCGCTGCGCGCGGCCCCGGCTTCCGATGACCTCCCAACTTTGCTCCTAGAACAAAGAGGAGGCGGACAAGGACGAAGACAAGGTGCCGATGGCGGGGCTGACGGCCACCCCTCCCCTGCCGCCGCCCAAGCCCATGGCGGCCAAGCGAGGGCGCCCCCAGATCCGTACCGCGGCCGCCAACGCGCCACCCGGCCGGAAGACGCCGAGCGGCGAGGGGCGGCCCAACGGGAAGAGCTCCCGAACGGAGACGCCGCCCAACATGGCCAACGGCGACAGTAAGCCAAGCCGGCGTCATTCATGAACCAGCGTTTGCCGCGGTCCCTCCCTCGCCGCTCCGTGACCTGAGCAGCATTTGAAACGAGCGTGCTCGGTGTCCCCGGCGGTATGCTCTTAATTCTGAAAGACCGAGGGTTTTGCCACACACCTTAAAATAATGCAAACGCATTTCAAAACATTTCAAGGGCACCCGACAAAGACAAACGAGCGCAGCGGGTCCTTGTGTTTAAGTCGCATTTGTCCAAACTCGCGAGCTTCAACTTTTCGTCCTGCTCAAAAACAGACGGATCTGAAAACGTGCGCCACTCATCCTGGCCAAAAGATGTACATCGGGGGTCACCAAACCTTTTTGAAGCGGAGAGCTGCTTCTTCGGTACGGGTTCAAGTGAAGTGCTGCCGCTTTGATGCACCCCTCCTGAAACAACAAACGTGCTCAAATTACCGTGACCCCGGACGTACCGAATAAAATGAGCTTACAACCATTGCCTTCTGTCGGCCTAAAAAGCAGGATCGAAGAGGACTGAGGCAACACATGAAGGCCAGGGCTGCGTTCAGAAATGTACTGACGCTCTGAACGCAACCCTGAGAGTGGATGTGTGCGGAGAGGGGATGGAACGATTTCCATCCCGTGCTGCCAGTCCCTCCCAACGCTCAGTCGGAGCGGTCAGAGCACACTGCAACGATGCGCTGAAAGATTGTTGTTGATGATGCACCGAGCCAAACAACATTTTGTCTGGGAAACACGCGACCTGATGTGGGGGAGCTTTGATTGATGGATTTTTTTAAATTGTTTATTTTAACAGTTAACAACAGGTCATGAGTGCGCAAATGCATCTTTGGTCTTCTTCGCCCATGTTTCTCTAGACGCGCCACGCATCAGGAGGACCAGAAGGACGTCCGGGATGTACGACTCGGACCGCGCCTCAAACGGTGAGTCGTATGGTGTGCTCTGACATTTGCAGACCAGCGTTTTAGCCTTTCCTTCCTATCCTCTTGTGTTTCCACGATTTAGCGCGTCGTGTGCATTTTAGACCCGATTTGTGCCCATTGGTTTGACTTCCCCCCCCGCCTCCATGTCATCCTAATAGTCCTCTATCACCTGCTCTTTCTGCAGAGGATTCTGGGAACTCGACGGTTGACAGCGAATCAGAAGAGCCGCCTGACAAGAAGCTGTCACCCTGGCGGGGGAGGCCCGAGAAGGAGGAGACCGGGGACCAGGGGGAGAGCGGCGCGCCTGAAGTCAAGCGGGGGGAGCCGAGCGAGGCGGCCGTCTCG